TAATATATATACTGTTGAATTTTACACTTGAAACTTATTGAATTCCGTTAACCAATGTCACCATAATAAATAAAAAAAGAAATAAAGTTTATAAATTAGACAATAGTACAGGCATACTACGGAGATATTGCAGGTTCAGTTTTAGCCCACTGTAATAAAGTGAGTATAGCAATAAAGCGAGTTGTAATACTTTTGCTGGTTGAGGGTCTTGCCTTCAATTTGTAAAAAAATGCAACATCTGTGAAGCTCAACAAAGTGAAATGCAATAAAATGAGATATGCCTGTACTGTAAAAAAAAAAAAATTCATTGTTTTCCCTGCCTTTACCCCTGCGTTGTAGTAGGAATTACATAAACACTAATTCTCTTCCCTTGGATATGCTCCTCTGGAAAACTCTCTCAATCCTCTCTTGTATCCCCATTGCCTAGAAAATGAAAGTGTTCAATGTGTTTTGTCCAAAATTTTATTATGAAAATTTTAAGATATATAGAAAAGTTGAAAGCATTTACAGTGAAAACCCATAAATCTACCAGCTAAATTCTACCATTAAGATATTACAGGACCAGTCAAGATGACTCAGAAGGTAGATGCTGTGCACAATTCCTCTCACAACCACACTAAAATTATAACAAAACTACAGAGCAACCAACACAGAGTTGCCTGAGGTCTGGCTGAACAGAAGCCTTACAACTATGGACAAAAATAACAGATCACCTCAAACCAGGGGAGACACAGAAAGGCCTGGTCCCACAACCACACGTGGCGATTGAGAATCAGGAGGGCTATTTTGGTTTCAGAGCCTCCTCCCGCACCTGAGGAGCAAGGGGTCCTGGCTTCACACTGGGCTTCCTGAACATGGTTCCAGCACCAGGAAGAGAAGTCCCCACAAACTCTAACTATGAAAACTAGTAGAGATTGAAGCTGAGAGAAAGAGGGCTGCAGAAGTCACAGACATTTTTCTTAAAGGCCCACACCTGGCCTTACTCACTGACAGACTCTCATGCTCTGAGCTCCAGCATTGCGGCAGCTGCTCGAGGGGCACCAGGGACACACGTGGAGGAGCTGAGTTGTCGGGCTTCAGAGCAAGGGCTGGAGGGGCAGCTCTCTCCCAGACAGAAGAGCAGGCAGAAGCCATTATTCCTTTGGTGAACCCTCACCCCTCCTAGCTTGCAGGCACAGGTGGGCCATATCTAGGCCTCCATCAACCTGGATAACACAGGTAGCTCTGCTTAAGTGATTCTCTGACACTCCGCCCCTCCCAACTTGTGGGCCCACACAATTCACTTCTAATGGTTTATTCCATACAAATGGGCTGTCTTGACTCCTGCTGTGGACCTTCCTAAAATCTCCCAAAGGCTCACCAAACCCAAGAGGCAACATCTGGCCTCGGCGCAGCCCATACCACTTGCTGAACAGCCCCGAAGCATGGCACTAGTAACAGCTGACCTCGGTTTCTGGCTTGGCCTCTTGAGGCACCTATAAGCCCAGCATGGGTGGCAGCCATCTGTAGATTGTTTGGTGACTCTTACTAGGTGGCCCTGGAGGGGCACAGGCTGTGGCTGAACTTGTCCTGAAGCTGAATCCCTCCCAGGACTGTGCCACTGGGTCCCACAGGACACCTACTACATAAACCCACTCTACTAAGATCGGGAGACTTAGGAGCCCTACCTAATACATAGAAACAAACACAGAGAGGAAGCCAAAATGTGGAGACAAAGAAACACATCCTAAATGAAAGAACAGAACAAAGCTCCAGAAAAAGAACGAACAAAATGGAGACAAGCAATCTACTAGATGCAAAATTCAAAATACCTGTTATAAAGATGCTCAATGAACTTAGCGGAAGAGTAGATGAATCTGATGAGAACTTTAAAATAGAGGTAGAAAACAGAAAAATAGAGATAGAAAACAAAAAAAAAAGATCCATTTAGAAATGAAGAATACAATAAATGAAATGAAAATACATTGGAGGGAATCAACAGTTTAGATGAAGCAGAGGTTCGAATCAGCAATTTAGAAGATAAGGTAGCAGAAAACACCCAATCAGTACAGCAACAAGAAAAAAAGAATAAATAAAAAATGAGGATAGTTTAGGACCCTCTGGGATAACATCAAGCGTACCAACATTCTCATCATAGGGGTATCAAAAGGAGAAGACAGAGAACAAGAAATTGAAAACCTATTTGAAGAAATAAGGATGGAAAACTTCCCTATCCTGGGGAAGGAAATAGACATACAATCCCAGGAAGCTCTGAGAGTCCCAAACAAGAGGAACCCAAAGAGGCCCACACCAAGACACATCATAATTAAAATGCCAGAGGCTAAAGACAAAAAGAGAACCTTAAAAGCAGCAAGCGAAAAACAATTAGTTACCTACAAGAGTGCTCCAGTAAGACTGTCAGCTGATTTCTCAAATACACTTTGCAGGCCAGAGGGATTGGCATGAAATATTCAAAATGATGAAAAGCAAAGACTTTTAACCAAGACTACTCTACCCAGCAAGGCTAACTTTTTTAATTGAAGGAGAGATAAAGAGCTTCTCAGACAAGAACAAGCTCAACAGAATTACAATAAATTTTAAAGGACTTCTTCAAGAAGAAGAGAAAAATACATATCAAAAATTTATTAATAAAGAACGGCAATAACTGTATATCTATCCACAAGTACCTTAAATGAAAAATAATTAAATGCTCTGATCAAAAGATAGGGTGGCTGAATGGATAAGAAAACAAGACCCCTACATATGATGCCTGCAAGAGACTCACTTCAGATTAAAAGACACACATAGACAGGAAGTAAAAGGATAGAAAAAAATATTTTTGATGGACCTAGAAGGTATTGTGCTGAGTGGAGTAAGTCAGATAGAGAAAAACAAATGCCATATGATTTCATGTACATGTGGAATCTAAAGAACAAAATGAACAACAACAACAACAACAAAAACAGAAACAAACTCATATATACAGAGAACATTTTGAGGGTTACCAGATGGGAGGGGGATTGGGGGGTTGGTGAAAAAGGGGGAAAGATTAAGAAGTACAAATTGGTAGTTACAAAATAGCCATGGAGATATAAAGTATAGCATAAAGAATATAGTCAATAATATTGTAATAACTATATATGGTATCAGAGGGCACTAGATTTATTGGGGTGATCACTTTGTGAGTTATATAGATGTCTAATCACTATGTTGTACACCTGAAACTAATATACTATTCTATGCCAACTATAACTGAAAAATAAAAAATATTATTAAAAAAAGATATCACTATACTTGTTTTATTACTTATCCATTCATCTATTTGTCCCTCTATCCATCTATTAATTAATCTTCATTTTGGTACATTTTAAAGTACATTGTACATATAAGTACATGTCCTCCTAAAATACTTTGTTTATAGACTTAAGTAGAGTTTATTATTTGTTTACAGATTTTTTAGATTAAATTTACATACAGTGATGTTAAAAATATTAAATATACACTTGCTGAATTTATTATTAAATTTACGCATACACCTATGTAACCAAAACCTCTAACAAGATGGAATATTACCGTCATTGAAGAAAGTACCCTCATGCCCCTTCCCAGTTCGGTTCTGCGTACATACCCCAAAGGAAAACAGTGTTTTGATTTTTTACCACCATAGATTAGTTTTTCCTATTCTAGAAATTCAAACCATAGTATAAATTTATTCTTTTATGAATAAACACCTGGGCTGTTTCCAATTTGGGATTATTATGAATAAAGTTGCCATGAACATTCATGTAAAAGTATTTTTGTAGAGATGTGTTTTTCTTTCACTCAGATAAATACCTAAGAGTGAAACTGCTGGGTCATAGAGTAGGTACGTGTTTAGTTTGGTAAGTAACTACCAGTACTTTTACTAAAGTAATTGTTCCATTTTACACTGTCATTAGCAATGTACGAGAGTTATAGCTGCTCTACCTCCTTGCCAATAATTGATGTTGTCTGTCTTATTTTAACGATTTTAGTGGATATCTCATAGATTTTAATTTACATATTTTGAGGACTGATGATGCTGAACATTTTTCCATATGCTTATTAGCCATTTGTATCTTCTCATGCTCGCTTCGGCAGCACATATACTAAAATTGGAACGATACAGAGAAGATTAGCATGTATCTTCTCTTGTGAAGCATCTGGTTAAATCTTTTGCCCATTTTTTTATTGGCTTGTCTTTTCATTATTGAGTTGTAGGAGTTCTTTATATATCCTAATCACCAGTTCTTATTTGATACACGTTTTAGGAATACTACCTTCTAGCCTATAGTTTACATATTTAGTTTTTTAATAATGTCTCTTGATGCGCAGAAAATTTTAATTTTAATGAATTGTAATTGATCGGTTTTTTCTTTAAGGATTCTTGTTTTTATGACATGTATATGAAATCTTTGACTACCCCCATGACATGATGATATTCTCCTATGTGTTCTAAAGGTGTTATCATTTTACCTTTAACATTTAAATCTGTGATATATCTCAAATTTTCTTCTATGTTGTGAGGTAGGGGTGTACGTTCATATTTTTCACTTGTGGATATCCAGGTGTTATAGCACCATTTGTTGAAAAGACCTCCTTTTCCCCCATTGGATTGCCTTTGCAACTCTGCCAAAAATCAAATGACCATATAGATGTGGGTTTGTTTCTGGGCTCTCTATTATGTTCCATTATCTATTTGTGGATCCTTATGATAGTTCCACACTGTCTTGGTTACTGCTGGTTTATAGTAATTCTTGAAGTCAGGTAAATATGTTTGTCAATTTTGTCTTTTTTCAAGATTATTTTGGATATTCTAGATCAGGGGTCTACAAACTTTTCTGTAAAGGGCCAGATAGTAAATATTTTAGGCTTTGTGGGCCAAACAGTATCTATGTCAACTACTCAATACTATTGCGGAAACACAGCAGCAGCCAAGACAATACCTAAATGAATGGGTGTGACTGTTTTCCAATAAAACATTATTTACAAGAACAAGCAATGAGCTGGATTTGGCCTACAGACCATAGTTTGCCAACCCTGTTCTAGATTTTTTTTATATTTCCATGTAAATTTTAAAATAAGATTGTCAATTTTTAGGAAAACACCAGTTAGGATTATGATTGGGATTGCTTTGGATCGATCTATAGATCATTTTGGTAACAACCGACAAACTAACAGTTTTAAGTCCTTCAATCCATGAACCTGACCTATATTTTTATTTATTTAGGTCTTCATTAATTTCTCTCAGCAGCGTTTTATAGTACTGAAGACAGAGATCTTGTATATCTTTTGTTAATTTTATTCCTAAATATTTTTATGTTTTGATAGTATTGTAAATTAAAATTTTAATATTATTTTCCAATAGTTCACTTTTTATATAATAGTTATTATATAAAAAGAACTGATTTCTTTTTAAATTAGCATTTTATTCTACAGCCTTGGTAAAGTCATTCATTAGTTCTAAGAAATTTGGGGATTTTTTTGTTTTTAGGTTTCTTGGGATTTTCTATAGAGACAAGCATATTGTAGGGACAGTTTTATTTCTTCCTTTCCAATTTATATGCTGCTTATTTATTTTTTTTCTTGCTTTATTGCAGTGGCTAGCACCTCCAGTACTATGTTAAATAAGAATAGCAAGAGTAGACATCTTTAGGATGAAAGTGTTCAGTATTTTTGACATATATGATGTTAGCTGTAAGGGTTTCAGTGATATATTCTATTAAATTGGGGAATATCCCTCCTAGGTTGGCTGGGAATTATTTTTTTATCATGACTATTTTTATCATGAATGAATATCATAAATGACTTATCTTCATTTATCAATTGATATAATCACGTGATTTTCCTTCTCTAATCTGTTATAGTAAATTACACTGACTTCTTTTCAAATATTAAATCAACCTTGTTCTCCTAGAATAAACTATACTTGGTCATGATTTATTACTATACACATACACATATATGTATGTGTGTATGCATGCGTAAATTAATAGTGTGGGTCCAATCAAGAGATAGATACCACACAGTAAGTTATACAGGGAAAATTTAATATAAAGAATTATTAATTATGATAAAAGAATAACTCTAAGATATAAGAAAATTCATTATAGCATGCTAGAGCTGAGGTGGAGTATCCAAGGAAGAATAAACCTGGAAAGGGTTCAGTCCTGAAGAAAGTCAGCAATCTTATATCAGAGAGGTTTGCTGGTGTGGCCAGGCAAGAGCTGGTCTAGAGTGGCTGAACAAACAATAGGCCACCCTCCCAGAGTGCAGGCAGGGGAGCAGGCAATCATCAATTGCAGGTGTGAGGATGCAAAGGAAGTCTGAGTGTCAGTGAAAATAGACTTAAGAGTACATAGATTGCATGAGATGGGAGTAAAGGATGGGAGTTTGCAGAATGACTGTTCAGTGTGTGACCCTGCAGAACACAAAAGGCTGCACATAGGTCATCCAGGGGCTTGTCCAGGGAGTCTAGACAGCCAACTGTATCTAGGCCATGTAAGGACTCCAATTTACTGTGTTCAGAGGGTTGTGGAAAGGTCATCACCAGGCCGAGGCTGCAAGGTCATATAGGGACCAGTGCTGGGCCCCATGGGCTGGCACTATCTGATGTCCTCTTACCTAAACAGTAGAGCCCTGGCCAGAGGCAGAAGTAGCAAGAGAACCAGTTTCTCCTTCAATGACCCTCCAGCGCCCTCTACTGAAAAATTTTAATATTGTCTTAATTATAAAGGAGAAATGCTTAAAGGAATTCTTACATAGAGAGCATGTATGTGAGGATGCATTTGGAACTGAGAAGCAATAAATTGGTAACTGACACATATATATATATAACTAGTTTCAGCTTAATAACACCATGTTAAGAAATTTTGCACCTGGGGTCAAGCAGGATATTGGTCCACAATTTTCTTTTCTTTTTTTTTTGGGGGGGGGTGGTAATTAGTTTTTTACATTTTGGTATTATGCTGACTTGTAAAATTCTGTTTACCAAAGAGTTTGTGGAATATTAGTGTTATCTCCAGCTTAAATATTTGCTAGAATTTACTGGGAAAACTGTCTGGAGATGGAATTTATTTTATGGGAGGGTTTTGAATATTAAATTTAGTATTTTCCATAGATATAGAACTAATAAGATTTTCTGTTTCCTCTTTAGTGGTCCTTTCTAGAAATGTTTACGTTTTATCTAAGTTGTCAAATTTTTAGTCATTAAGTCATTCATAATATTCTCTTATAATTTTCATACTGTCTGCAGGCTCTATAGTGATATCAGATTCTTGGTATTGATAATTTTGCTCCTTTTTTCTTGTTTAGTTTAGCTAAGATTTTATCAATTTTGTTGTTCATTTCAAAGAGCCGCCTTATTGCTTTGTTAATTTTCTCCATTATTTGTTTCTATTTTATTGGTTTATGTGCTTATCTTCATTATTCTCTTATTTTTACATACTTTTGTTTTAATTTATTTTCATTTTTCTAGTTCCCTAAGGTAGCACCCTAGGTCATTTTATACATTTAGTGTTTTCTAATATAACCAATTAAAGCTATATTTTTGTCTCTACACCTTTTTAGCTGCATCCCACAAATATTGATATATTTTATTTTCATGGTTATTCAGTATAAAATATTTTCTAGTTTCCCTAATGATTTTTTTCTTTAAGCATGTATTAATTAGAAATATCTTCTTTAATTTCCAAATACTTGAGGTTTTTCTTGACACCTCGTTATCTATTTCTAATTGTATTCTATTGCCATCAGAAAACATATTCTATAGATTTGAAGTTTTAAATTTTTACTGTAACTTAGTGTTTAGCCCAGCAAAGGATCTGTCTTGGCAAACACACCACACGTACTTCAAGAGCATGTGCATGTGTTCTGCAATTCTCGGGTGTACTATTTTATAAATATCATCTAGGTCCAGGTATTTGATAGTGCGTCCTTTCTGATTTCTTTGCCTAATTATTCTTTCAATTTGAGATAACATTAAAAGGTCCAAATAATATTGTGACTTTATCTATTTCTCCCTTTAATTCCACTAGTTCTTGCTTCATGTATTTTGGAATATCTGTTATTAAACACATAACCATTTATATTTATGTCTTCCTGATGAAATGACCTTTTATCACCATGAAATGTACCTCTTTACCTTGGTTTTGAAGTCTATTTTATCTTAATATTAATGTTAATTAATATTAATATAGCCACTTCAACCTTCTTATGTTTACTCTTTGCATGCTTTTTAATTTCCCATCTTCTTTTTTCTAATTTATCTATGTTTTTGTGGTTTTATAAACAGCATATACTTCAGTCATGCTTTTTTATCCAGTCTGACAATCTCTTTTAATTGGGTATTTAGCACATTAACATTTTTAAAGCTTTAAAACATTTTAAAAGTTTCTATTGTATATATAAAATTAATCTGTTTTAAGTGTACAATTCAATGATTATTAGTATATTTACAAAGTCATGTAACCATCATCACAATCCAGTTTTTGGACATTAATATCACCCCAAAAAGTTCCGTCATTCCCAATAAGCAGTCACTCGCCACTTCCCCCTCAACCCCTTCTAAACCTGTAGCAATCCCTAATCTACTTCTTGTCTCCATGGACTTGCCTGTTCTGGACATTTTATACAAATGGAATCATACAATATGTAGTCTTTTATGTCAGCTTTATTTCATTTAGCATAATATTTCCAAAGTTCATCCATGTTGTAATATGTATCAGTTTAATTGATGAATAGTACTCATATATATTATTCACATATATTTGTTCGTAATAATTATTCATATATATTATTCATAATAGTATTCATATATATATCAGATCATGTTTATACATTCAGCAATAATGAACCTTACAGGGTTATTAGATCATGGGTCAATAAAATTATATATATGAAAACACTAATAAATTATAAATCTCTATTTGAAATCAACAGATTACAATTATTATCTGTAAAAAGTTAATGTTATGAACCAGCATACACAGGAATTAGATCACTGTTCTGCTCTCTGGTACAAACACTGAGTTAAGTATTAGGGAGACCTGACTTCAAAACCACTCCACTACTTATAAACTCTGTGGCAGGTTAACCTCTCTAAGTTTCAGTTACCTTACGAAAGGAGGCTAATACCACCTTCCCTACTGGAGTAATGAAAGAATTAAATGAAATAATATTTGTGTAAGTGCCTAACACAGCAGTGAGGGTTTCTGGAAGTGACAATTGGCCATTGACACTCTGGTGAAGACTGCTTCCTCACTACATTTTCCCTATAAGCATGGGGAAATAATATTGTGCATAATGCCCTCGAGGTCCATCCGTATTGTCACAAATAATATTGTGACTTTATTGTGAATTATTATAGGTATTCTTTCATTTGATTCTCACAATAACTGTGAGATCAGCTAAGCAGATGTTATTGTGTTCATTTTATATATGAGAAAATTGAGAATATTGGCTCTCGTTGTTCCATGTACTGTCTAACACTAATAAATACTGTTTGATGTTCAAAAAGGGTACCATTAAATGTTCATTTCTTTTGAAAAGAATAGCTTTGGCACTATTTATTAAAGCTGAGTATACATATACCTAATGAGTGAGAAATTCCATTTTTAAGTTTATATCAAACATAAGTGAATATATATGCTCACGAAAAGAAAAGTAATAGAATTTTCATAGCAGCACTATTTGCTTTTTATTTTTTCATTTTATTGAGATATAATTGAAATTAACATTGTATTAGATTAAGACATGCAACATAATGATTTGATATATATATTATGAAATGATTACCACAATAAGTTTAGTTAACATTCATCACCACAGTTACAAATTTTTATTTCTCGTGATGAGAACTTTTAAGATCTACTCTATTAGCAACTTTCAAATATGCAGTACAGTATTATTAACTATAGTCACCATGTGGTACATTACATGCCCAGAATTTATTTGTCTTATAACTGGAACTTTGTACCTTTCGACCACTTTCATCCATTTCCCACACTCACATCCCAACTCTGGCCACCCCCAGTATGTTCTCAGTTTCTGTGCGTTCACCTTTTTTTAGATTTTACATATTAGTGGAATCATAAAATATTTGTCTTTGTCTTTCTAATTTACTTCATTAGCATAATGACCTCAAGGTCCATCCGTATTGTCACAAATGGCAAGATTTCTTTCTTTGTTTCTTTTATCTTTCTTTGTTATGGCTAAATAACGTTCCATTATTTTCTTTATCCATTCATCCATTGATGGACACATAGGTTCTTTCCATGTCTTGGCTACCATAAATAATGCTGCAATGAACATGGGGGTGTAGATAACGCTTTAAGATAGTGATTACATTTTCTTCAGCTAAATGACCAAAAGTGGAATTGCTGGAGCATATGGTAGTTCTATTTCTAATTTTTTGAAAACTCCATACTGTTTTTCATAGTGATTACACCAATTTACAGTTCCACCAACAGTATACAAGGCTTCCGTTTTTCCACATTCTTGCAACACTTGTTTTCTCATCTTTTTGATGACAGACATTCTAACAAGTGTGAGGTGATTATTTAATTGTGGTTTTGATTTGCATTTCTCTCATGACTAGTGATGTTGAACATCGTATGTACCTGTTGGTCATTTATATGTCATTTTTAGAAAAATGTCTATTTAGTTCTTCTGCTCATTTTAAAATCAGATTGTGTTTTTGTTTTTACTATTGAATTGTATGAGTTCTTTATATGTATTAGATATTAACCATCTATCAGATATATGACTTGAAAATATTTTCTCCCATTCTATAGGTTGCCTTTTCATTTTGTTGATGGCTTCCTTTGTTATACATTCTTCTCTAGTGCACATGTAAAATTCTCAAGAATCGACCACATACTGGGACACAGAGATAGCCTCAATGAATATAAGAGGGTTGAAATCATACCAACCATATTCTCTGATCATAATGCTTTGAGCTGGAGTTCAACTGTAAAAAGAAAGTGGGCAGAACCACAAATACATGGAGATTAAACAACATGCTACTGAAGAATAATTGGGTCAGAGAAGAAATAAAAAGAGAGATCAAGAGATACATAGAAACGAATGATCTAATGCTTCATCTTAAAAAACCAGAAAAGGAAGAACAACTGAAAGTTATTCAGCTGAAGGAAGGAAATAATCAAAATTAGAGCAGAGAGAAATGAAATTGAAAACAAAAATACAACAGAAAAAATAAATGCAACATAGAGCTGATTCTTTGAGTTGAGAAGGTAAATTGACAAACCCCTGGCTAGACTCACTAAAGGAAAAAGAGAAAGGACACAAATAAACAAAATTAGGAATGCAAGAGGGGAAATTATGATATGACTCACAGATATACAAAGGATCATACAAGAATATTATGAAAAAATAGAAAACATCTAATTTAATAACCTATAAGAAATGGACTAGTACTTAGAAAGATACAATCTTCCTTGAATTAATCACGAAGAACTGGAAAATCTAAATAGATTGATCAGTAGTGTGGAAAATGAAACAATCATCAAAAACCTACCAATATGTAAAAGTTCAGGATCAGATTGCTTCATCAGTGAATTCTATAAAACATTCAAAGATTTAATACCTATTCTCCTCAAACTCTTCCAAAAAATTGAAGAGTATGCAATATTACCCAACTCATTTTATGAGGCAAATATTACTCTGATACCAAAACCTGGTAAAGATACCACACACACAAAAATCTACAGACCAATATCTCTCATGAACAGAGATGCAAAAATTCTAAATAAGGTACTAGTGAACTGAATACAGCAACATATTAAAAAGATTATAAATCATGATCAAGTGGGCTTCATCCCAGAAGCACAGGGATGGTTCAATATACTCAAATCAATTAATGTGATACACCACGTAAACATATTAAAAAAATAAGAATCATATGATCATATCAATAGATGCAGAAAAAGCCTTTGACAAGATACAGGACCCATTTATGATCAAAATCTTTAACAAAATCA